AGAACAGTGGGAGCACCAGCTCCAGTCCCTCCTGCTCACCCCTCTGCCTCTGTAGGTGCCTCTGCTCCCCACCCACCAACCTGCAGCCACCCCAAACAATTCAGATTGGAGATGCTCTGGAACAAAAAACCAGGCTTGGTTTTGCCTCTGCAGCCCCACACACAGAGGGAGCTGCACCTTCCTGTAAGGCCAAACACCAGAGATTGTCCAGATCCAAACCAAACCCATGCAAAGGGACAGATCCAGGTGGATCCAGCTGTCGTGGCCTGGTGGCCCTGCTCTACCTTGATGCTGTTCAGGCACAGGTGCTGCCTGGCCTATTTGTCTCCATGAGATCACTTAAAATAGCAGCCAGGCTGCTCTCTCAGGAGAAGGTTACAGGAGGAACATTACATTACATTACAGCAGGAACCACACGTCAGGATGAATGCAGATGCTCCTCCTCAGGGAAGCCTGGGCAAGGTCTAGCAGGCAAATAGAGCATCTCCAGGCAAGGATTTGAAACACAACATCCAGGACAGCAGCCTGGGGGCACTGGTGTGGCACAGGGAGAACACAGAGGAGACCACAGGGAGCAAAACCTTGGGGTGAGGGCAGAGTCCAGGGGCTGCCTGCAATGGGTCCAGCTCAGCTGTGAGGAACTGCAGCCCCTGCACTGCCTCAAACAGCTTTACAGCTTGTCAGGTGCCAAGGAAAGCAATTATTTTTCACAAACACCGTGTCCTCAGGGAGGAGAGCTGGGAGGAAGCAGAAGCAGCCCAGCCCCAGTGTTGTGGTGCAGAAATGCCTCCAGGCTCCATGGCAAGGACAACCAGCCTGAAAGTTTGCCATGCAAACATTCAAACTCCAATTGATCTGCCTCAGACTGAGCACTAATGGTATTTTATTTTTAAGATATTGTCTGTAGTTGCACAAGAGACCCCTGAGAAATGCAGCCTCGTGCAGCAGAGCACTTCAAACTGCACTGAAGTGTTTTCTTACAGCAGCACTTCCACAGCTATCCCACTTCCAATTGTGTCAAAAAGCATTTTGCAATCAAGTGCAACTTGAGGAAAAGACCCAGTCCACTCCCAGAGCCAGAAAAATTCCCTGTGGCACCATGACCAGCATGCTGACCAGCAGATGGAAAAATCCCCCAGGCTGGGAATCCCACCATGGGCCAGGACAGACCCTCAGCCCCTTAAGGAATCTCCCTGCCTGTCCAGGGCTCTCATCCCTCCAGGTCTGTGTGCTCACTGCATTGCTGAGCTCCCTCCCTTTCAGAGCTGGGACCTGCAGCTCGTTGGACTCTTTGGCTCCTGTTTTCTGCTCCCTGAAGCAGGTCAGTGGGGCTCTCTGGTCAGAGCCTGGGATGGCCCACGTGTCTGTAGCCACAGAGCAGCTCCTACTCACTTCAGCCCTGCCCTGAAACCACGGGGAAAACCAGGACTGCCCTGAGGTCAGGCAGTGCAAGTTGTTCAGCCCAAGGTTTTGGTGGTTTTACATGATCACAGCAGACACAAGACGAGCTCACTTCATTTAACACATCCAAAGTAGTTACGATCAAGGAAGAAAAAAATTGTTATCATGTCTTACCCCTGCCAAGCAGGGTTTTGAGCAGCTGCTTTACTGCACAAATGATGTCCTGCACTTCCCTCTCACCACTCCCAGCCAGGAAGGACAATTTATTCCTTCAGCTCATCAAGTTCTTTAGGACTTTGCCCATGGGAGAGCCCTGGACCTTATTCCCACTCCTTTCTCTGTAACCATCATACTCCTAACAACAGGAACACTTTTATTTACCATAACACATTTCAATCAGTACAGTCCATGGATGAGACCACAGACACTCACTGGGATGGGAAATTTGTAGAGGCAGAAACCACCTCTCTACAGCAGTCAGCCTGTTGCTGAATGCTAAATTACAACATCAAGAGAGGTTCTGCTTTTAAGCTTTAATTATTAAACTGCATATAATAACTTCTGGCATGGGAGGGCTTGGGTTGTTTTAATTTTAAGTAAGCCTTCAAATGAAGCATCAATTGCATGGTTTGTTCTGAACTGTTCTGCTGCATCCCACCCCTCACATTACTCTTGAGGAGCTAAATAATTCATCTAGGAATGGTACCAATCCAAATCAGAGCTAAAAAACCCCAGCTATACAATCTGGGGTATTTCAAGACAGATGTTCTGAAAGACCCCCTTTCCTTGCATCTGTCTCCATCCAGGCATGCAGAGAAAAAGCCCACTAGGCCATCATATCTAGTGGAAGATGTCCCTCCCCATGACAGGAGGTTGGAATGAGATGGTCTTTAAGGTCCTTATCAGCCCAACCCACTCTAGAATTCTAAGAAAGACACAGACGTGCACAAAAAAAAATAGATTTCTGGGGAAAACCCACTGCTGGATGCCCTCCTGTGTTCCTGTGGGAGCTTTTTGGTGGCCCCACAGCCCTCCCCAGCACCGCTCCCATGACCTGGGGGTCAGAGGGTCCCTGGGGGGGACAAGCACAACTCACACTCAGCTCGGCTCCCAGGCGCCCGTACTGCTCCGACACCCAGAAGCCCCTCCGGTCCTCCAGGGCAATGTAGGGCTTGTCGGGGTACCTGGCCCTGAATTTCTTCAGGAAGCCTCCCTCGAAGTCAGCCAGCACCCCGTCCATGTCCACGAGCACCCGCAGAGCCCGGCGGGACCCCGCTGAGGGGCCCAGCCCCCTGCCCAGCCCGGCCAGGGCGCCGCAGCGCCGCGGCCGCAGGTGCAGGAAGCAGCTCAGCAAAATCATTGTGGAGAGGGATTTGGGGAAAGAGAGGGGGGATTTGGGGCAGGGGGCTCAGGGGAGGGAATGGGAGGCTCAGGGAAGCAGGGTCAGGGCAGGGGATGGGGGTTTGGGGTAGAGAAAGGGGGCTCAAGGAAAGGGATGGGGGATTTGAACAAGGGGATGGGGGCTCAGAGTAGGGGGCTTGGGGAAGGGGATGGGGGCTTGGAGCAGGGGAAGGGGACTTGAGACAGGGGATAGAGCCTTGGAGCAGGGGAAGGGGGCTCAGGGAATGGGATAGGGGCTTGAGGAAGGGACTGGGAGCTTAAGGAAGGGGATGGGGCTTAGAGCAGGGGAAGGGGGCTCAGGGAAGAGGATAGGGGCTTGAGGAAGGGACTGGGGAGCTTGAGGAAGCGGATGGAGCTTGGAGCAGGGGAAGGGTGCCCGAGGAAGCAGATGGGGGGCTCGGAGCAGGGGATCGGGGGCTCAGAGCAGGGCTGGGGGGGCTCTCCAAGCAAAGCGGGGTGCCTCAATCCCGAGCACGCAGCGAGGCTGCCAAGCCGCGGCGGGAGGAAGGAGCGGCCGGGGGCTGCCGGGGGCGATGCCAAAGCCCGTGCTGGCCCCCAGCTTGTCCTCGCCCTGCCCGCCCCATCCCTCCCCGGCAGCGGGGCCGCTGGCCCGACCCGGCAGTGCAAAGCCCAGTTCCTGTTCCCGGTGCCTGGCGAGCCCGGAGCGCCGGCACCGCCTTAAAGCGGCACAAGCGCCCTGCGCCAGCGCAGCGCCGCCGCCCGCGGGCTGCCCTGCCTCAGTTTCCCTCGCTGCCGGGCCGTGGGGTGCCCAGCGCCGCCCCATGCGCCTCCCTGCCTGCGGAGGTGGCGGGGATATGTGGGGACGCACGTAAAAATGGTGATTTTCTGCACGAAACGCACTCGTGTGACAGCTCTGTCCCCTCGTGTGACAGGAGCCCTTAAAAGCCGAGCAGCACTGAAAAAGCCGAGCCCCAAAGAAGCAGCACTGCACCAAGGAGGGCTCGATGTTCTGAGCAGACACCAAAGATCATTCAAAAAACACTTCGGGGGTTAAAACTGATGAAGAAGGGGGAGTTCTCCAAGTGGTTCTGACAGGGTTAGGGACGCACTGAGCCGGGAAATAAAAGCTTCTGCTCGACAGCAAGAATAAGGCTCCAAAATATTAAATTTTTGAAGTCCGGAATGTTTTCAAGTGGAATGTATTGTCCTTGTTCCATAGAGAGGGCAAATTTGCGGAAGGAAGGAAGGAAGGAAGGACTGGCCACGAGGGTGATCTCAGCTGAGGCTGGCAGGGGAATGTGTCAAGCTCAGGTCTGTGTTTTGCTTTCACTTGCACCGCAGGCGTTTTGCTTCCTGCGAGGAATGGGATTTCAACACAGCTGGGTGTTCCTGACTAAGCAGGGAGGGAATACATGCGAATTTATGGCTCCCCAGGGCAGTGGTCAGGGCACCGAGCCTGCCAGGGTTCCAGGAGCGTTTGGAGAACGCTCTCAGGCACAGGGTGGGATTTCGGGCTTGTCCTGTGCAGGGCCAGGAGCTGCACTGGATGATCCCAGTGGGGCTCTTCCAGCTCTGGGTGTTTTACAATTCTGTGGTCTCCACTCAGCCTTCCATCATCCTCACGGACACTGAGCCACCAACACATTCCCTGCCTGCCACAGCGCCGGGACACCTGCTGCAGCTCCCGAGGGAGGGAAAACACAGACCCATCTATTAACCTGAGCCCCTTAATTAACCTAATCCCCTTCCCTGACACCCTGCACGCAGCGAGGCCCCGCCAGAGGGGACAAAAGGGAATAAACCTCTGCTGGCACTGCGCAGCCACTCGGGTGGGCTCCACCCGTGTCGGGGAGGGCTTGGTGTCACCGAGGGCCCGGTGTCACCCGGGGGTCCCTTATCACAGGGGCCCTCATGTCGTGAGGGCCACATGTCGTGAGGGCTTCATGTTGCAAGGGCCACATGTCATGAGGGCCTCATGTCGTGAGGGCTTCATGTCGTGAGGGTCTCATGTCGTGAGGGCCACATGTCATGAGGGTCTCATGTCATGAGGGTCTCATGTCACGAGGGTCTCATGTCGCCGGGTCCCCGATGTCGCGGGGCGCTGACGCGCCGTGACGTGCCCCCTCGGCGCGCGCGGCCGCGGCGCGAGCCGCCAAGATGGCGTCGGCCCTGGAGCAGTTCGTCAACAGCGTCCGGCAGCTCTCGGCCCAGGGTGAGGGGGACGGGGCCCGCCGGGGCCGCCGGGAGCACGGGGCGGGCCCGCGGGGCCGAGGGAGGACGGCGAAGGGCGAAGGAGCCCGTCCAGGCGCGCGGGAGGCGGGGCGGCGGGCCGGGGCCTGGCCGCTCGCACGGCGCTCCCTCAGGCGCGGCTCCGGGCGCTGCAGCCCCGCGGCGGCGCGGCCCGTGCCGGGCTTAGCTCGGGGCAGCCCCCAAAGGATCCCGGCGGTGCTCTCCCCGAGCTCCGTGGGTCTCCCGGGGGTGGTTTCGGTAGCGGAGCCCGCGCTGGTGATCATGCCAAAATGTGAGGCTTTAAAATAGGGGGAGGAGCGAGCATCGCTAGGGCTTTAAATGGGATTGTGCGGCGCAGCCTGTCACCTCCCTAGCGAACGGGCAGGTTGTGATAAGTGTGGTTTAAAATGTATTTCTGAATTGTCCAAGTGTCCGTGCTGTACGTTTGCAAGCAGAGCATGGACAGGTCCCGCCCCACCACAAACTGTGACAGACCCGAGACTGTACCCACGTGTCCACAAAGGGTTTTAACAGTCACGGTTAGAATTCCTCCGTTTCGCTGCCAAACTCCTAATTTTACTGTGTGTGGGCGCAGTGTTTCCTGGTTCTTGAACTTTCCCTCTGTGTTGATGCTCTGTGAAATGTGCTCTGACTGGTCTCTGCCCGGGATGTTTCCTCCCAGAAGCTGGTCAAAAATTGATGTTTCCCACCACGGCCCCAGGTTTCATCTCTTGCAGTTCTTGGGTTGAGCTCCAACTTTCTCTTACTCCAGTTACCCTTAATAAATACAAAGTATTTCTACTTTAGAGACAATTTATGCCTGCAGGGTGTGGGTACGAACCAGATGGAAGATGGATCTTTGTACTCCTGTAGTTGAGCTAGAGAGCTTTCTGTCCCAGAGTTTTGGGGTGCAGAAGGCTCAAGGGAGACTGGTTCTCTCTGTGGGAGTTCTCCCATTAGGGATGAGCCAGGGAGATGCCCTCTGTGAGAAAGTGCCCAGCACAGGGCATGGACTTGGAGCAAGTGCAGATGAAGCCACCAAGACGATTGGAGGGCTGGAGCTTTGAGGAGAGGCTGGGAGGGTCTGGATTGTTCAGCCTGGACAGAAGAGAAGGCTCTGGGGTGGCCTGATTGTGGCCTTCAGGAGCTGGAGGGAGCTGCAGGAAAGATGAGGAGAGATCATTTGTAAGGGCCTGGAGGGACAGGAAAGGGAGAATGGCTTCATGGTAACAAGAGAGTAGGGTTAGATTAGGTACTAGGAAGTATTCCTCCCTGTGAGGGTGGTGAGGCCCTGGCACAGAATTCCAGAGAAGCTGTGGCTGCCCCTGGATCCCTGGCAGTGCCCAAAGCCAGGTTGGACAGGGCTTGGAGCCACCTGGGACAGTGGGAGGTGTCCCTGTTCATGGCAGAGGATGGAGTGAGATGATCCTTGAAGTTCCTTCCAACCCAAACCATTCTGGGGTTGAGTGGAAGTAAATCCAGAGGCAGCAGCTGGATGTGAGAGCACTCAGGAGCAGTGTGTGTCCTTGTGCTGGTTCCTGGCTGTCATTTGGCCACCTGGGAGGTGACAGGACACATTTGGTTGGGCCTGGTACTGGAATTTCTGCTTGGACTGCAGATTGTTCAGTGGATGTGTGGGCAGAGGGATAGACCACACAATCCCAGAATGGTTTGGGTTGGAAGAAACCTTAAAGGTCATTTCTTTCCAACCTTTGCCATGGACAGGGGCACCCTCCACTAGACCAGTTTGCTCAGAATCTGTTTGGGGTTTGTTTTGTTTTGGTTTTTTTAGGGGAATGCTAAGTGATAGAACTGTAGAAGGAATGGATTTCTGGAACAGGTAGGACACCAGAACTAAGGTTTTTCAGTGTCTCAGCACCGTGATCAAAGCACAGAGAGTTTTACAAGCCCCATTCCTTCCTATGTTTTTGTCTTCTTTAAATTCCATATGGAGGAGAATGATTTTGGAGGAGAGTTTCTGGGCTCTGGTCTCCCACTTGGAATTTTTGATCTCTCTGTCACTCCAAAACTAACATTGCATTGCTAGAATTTCCCTGCTTTTCCTTTCTCAAAGGAAAAGGCCAGAGACCTGAGGGTAGTGTAAATCTCTCTGAATGGAGGCACTATTCCTCATTTTATGGGGACTTTTGTTAAGGGTGAGAGAACCTTTGTTTTTTCTCTCTAATCTGCAAGGATTGAACATTGAAACAATGCTCTGCTTCAGAAGGACATGGTGTAAATTCATTCAGTTAATTGTCAGGGAGGAAGAGTTTGAAAGCAGTTCATGGGAATGGATCTGCTTTCTTTATAAAGGTTTTGGGGCTTACCAAACTTCCTCATTCATGCATAGCACACAGCATATAGAATGACATTGTAGTTTTAATTGTACAAAGTAAATTTAAGGACAGGTTTTTTAATACTTTTGTTGTCGGTACTTAATTGTAACTTTAATGTCTACTTCAAAAAAATGCTTATGAGCAGACCTGAAAGTTGGGTAGTGCTTGAGAACCAGCAAGGAACAAGCTCTGGTATTTGTTTTATATTTTAAAAAATGTGGTGGATAGAAAATTAATGCCTGTTTTATTAAAGAAAATTAAAACTTGGGGTGATACTATTATTTCCTGCTGTTTCATGAGGAAGCAGATTATAAAGAGGTGTGGGAATGGGTGAATGTCCTCTAATTAGGCTTTGACAACAATGCTTTTTATTTTTCAGGGCAAATGACCCAGCTTTGTGAACTGATCAACAAAAGTGGAGAGCTGCTAGCAAAAAATCTTTCCCATCTGGATACAGTGCTTGGTGCCCTGGATGTACAGGAACACTCACTAGGTGTTCTTGCTGTCTTGTAAGTGTTGCTTGCTTTTGATTAAGTACTAAAACTTCAGGCAATGAGCTGAACTGTCAGACAAGCAAAACTTTTTGTTCTGGCACAAGTTGCCCTGAGAAGCTGTGGCTGCCCCATCCCAGGGAGTGTCCAAGGCCAGGTTGGACAGGGCTTGGAGCACCTGGGATTGTGTCCCAGCCCATGGCAGGATTGGAACTGGATGAGCTTTGAGGTCCCTTCCAACCCCAGACATTCTGGGATTCCGTGATAAGTGTTTTTCCATATGTGTTCAGAAAAAATATGTAGAATGAGCTTTTTAAACTTTATTTTCAGGGCATATTTTCACTGAACTGTAAGCATGGAGCGAGACGTTTTATTCCAGTAAAAACCAGGCTTTTATCATGGGTCTTGTGTGTTTGTCTTTAGACAGCACTGAGGCTCTTCTGCTGTCTGGAGTTTAAGATAAAATTGAGTTGCCTTGGGGGTGCTGAACTAAGGTAAAGATATTTAGTCTTGAAGTTCAAACTGGCTGTGTCTGACTGTAGGTGAACTATCTGCAGGTTTCACTGCTATTTAAAAATTCTCTTTTAAGAGAAAGGTCAGAATTCTAGCACTTGTTCTACTACTCTTTCAAAACAAAATACAGATAATACTGAAAATGATCTTTGCCATTGTAGTTTGCACTAAATTGAGAATTGTGTTGTGCATAAAAAAGTGTTTTCAGGTGTTGTTGTGCAGCTACTGGGGAAATCCTATGCCATGTCTCATGAGCACTTTGGATTTGTTTTCCAGCACCTACATGCAGAGACTTAGCAATGAAAATGAATTTTTTTTATGAACCTCCAAGCAATAAATGTTAAACCTTCTGTTTTTGTTTCAGGTTTGTGAAGTTTTCTATGCCCAGCATCCCTGACTTCGAAACGTTATTCTCACAGGTGCAGCTTTTCATCAGCACTTGCAATGGAGAACACATTAGATATGCAACAGACACTTGTAAGTTAAGCCTAATTTCAGACTTGATATCTTTTTGGATAGTTTGGTAATACTGATTTTTCACTGAGGTGTTTTTCTTGTTTGTTTTTTTTTTACTGTGTCTAGTTGCTGGCCTGTGCCACCAGTTAACAAATGCCCTTGTGGAGAGAAAACAGGTGAGCAGTATAATCTAGTACAAATAACCTACTCCATACCCAAGGCTTAAAGGGGGTATTACCAGCCTCTTACTCCATAAAGATTTGCCACTAACTTCACATCAAGTGTTTCTGTGCAACTCTTTAGTTATGAAGTTTACTGAAAGGTAATGAACAAAACTCAAAATTCTAAGATTTCTCTAAGGGAAACCTAAGGAAGATCATTTTTGGGGGAGAAAAGTCACCTTAAAAAACATGTTCTCCCACACAAAATAGGAAATCTGTAGTACCAAGAATGTTCTTCAGACAATGCATGGGTAGAGGAGAGAGCTGCAAGGGTTATTAGCACTGGTGAGTCAGTGATTTTAGTGTCAGTGTTACTCTCACTGCTGTTACATAATGTTCTTAAGGAAATACCTTAAAATATGCAGGAAATTTGATTAAGCCATACTTGACCAGTGGTTTTGTTGCTAAAATCCTGACTTTGCCAGGCCACTTTGGTGAAGTCTAGCTTGAGACAGACCAGATCTGATCTCTGCTTCTAAGTGGAGTGAAGTGAGAACCTTGTCTTTAGTATCTGGTGGGAGTTTGGATGGAGTCTTGGAGTCAAGGAAGGTTTTTTAGATACAGATCACTGTGTTCCTGGTGAGATTGGCTTTGTGGAGCAGAATTGAGAACTTTATCAGGAGAAATTGTATAGCCCAGGTTAATTTTATTTTCCAAGAGACTGCAATATCCTACAAAAAGGGAACCTCAAGTTAACTATTACTTAATGGAACCTGTCAATTAGTGTTATTTTTCATTTGTAAGTGTCAACATAAGATCCAATGTGCTGCCATCTATGAGAAATTATCTGAAAGAGATGTAATTTCTGACAGCCCCTGCGAGGAATTAGCATTCTCAGACAAGCCATAGACAAGATGCAGATGAACACAAACCAGCTGACCTCAATACACGCAGATCTCTGCCAGGTAAGGGGATCAGAAGGGCTTTTTTGAGAATAAAAGCTTATAAAATACCTGTAAAACTTCAAGGAAATGCATGTTCACATATTGCAGTGTAAGAATGGATTTTCAGTTGGATTTTTGTTTGGTTTGTTCTTTTTTTCCCAATATTAAATAATATGATATATATTATTATGAATACTGATATATATTATTATGAATACTGAGATAAAATCCAAATCTGATATACAGATGAATTACTAATTTTAAATGTTCAATGCATGTCCTCAGATCTTTGATTTTGTTGATGACCTCAGAAAGTCCTTTGCCATCCCTTCTCTGTGGGCTGAAAGTCACACTGAACTTATCTTGGGTGGTATCAGTGTAAAATCCAGCTACTGTCTGCTCAAGTCTGACAAAAGACATGTTTGTCTCGGTGTCTTTGGCCTGGATTTGTATTTCTGTCTCATTCTTGGCTCCTGGGATTTAGGGTTGGACAGGAATGCTCAGAGCAGTGCTTTGTGCTGCCAGCACAGTAGTCTGGCAATCCTGGAGTTTCAAACAGCTTTGTCAGACTTTAATTTCTTTAGGAGTCAGATAATTTTGTAACAGTTCATAATCTGTGTTAAAGGTTTTTGAGTTGTGTTACTCCACTAGTGAAATGCTCTTTTTTTTCAACTCGTGGGAGAGTGATATTTATGCAGTAGTACTAATTAATTTAGTTTCAATTCCTTCTCATGGAAACTTGAATGGAAATGGCTAATTTATGAAAACTTGATTTATTTTCTTGTAGCTCTGTTTGTTAGCAAAATGCTTTAAACCTGCCCTCCCGTATCTAGATGTGGACATGATGGATATTTGTAAAGAGAATGGGGCATATGATGCGAAGCACTTTTTATGTTACTACTACTATGGTGGGATGATATACACTGGGCTAAAGAACTTTGAAAGAGCACTCTACTTCTATGAACAGGTAACTTGAAATGAAACCCTAAGTCTGAAGTGTGATGTCTGGAAAGGCGGAAGTGGATGGGTAACAGTGCTGAGAAAACACAGCACCTTTGAACTGGCACAAGCAGACTGTCTTTGGAGGTGTTTTCCTTTAAGAAAGTCTCTCACAGAATTACTGCACCATGAAGCTGTGCAGCTCAAAGAGTGATGTTAAATTTATCTCACTATAAATATTTTTCAGCTGCCTGCTTGAAAATGCAGCACAGAAACAGGTCACGGGCTGACACACAGTTGTGTGTCCTTAAAAAATAGTCCATGGTTTTGCTAAGGCCTTTGCTAATTTTATGAGAGGAGTTTTGCTTCTTCAACGCTGTTATAATATTTGCTGGTTTTGCTTTATCTGGGAAGGAATAAAAATAGTAAAATTGGGAAAATCTTGGGTATGAGAGAAATGCTGTGAAATGTGCAAAACAAATTGATGCAGCATTTAATGAGGGTCAGCTCTTGAGTAGTTCCAGTGTCATAGTGAACTAAAATCCCCTTTTCCTGTTCTGCAGACCTCTGATAATGTAACAGCTTTATAAAACCTCTTTGAGGGTCTGTGTAAATCCAGGTTCACAAGTAGCTACAGGTGATTTCTGGTACAAATTTAGATACATTCCAAGGAAGGAAGTTTTGATTCTGTCTGAGCAGGTCTATTTTAAGACAGGTACCACTGGAACGTGATATGTTTTGAGTAGCTTGTATAAAATTTCCTTTCTTTTGCATATGTCTGGATAATTAATTTTGACAGAAGTTAGTTAAGCTTCAGTGCTCAAAGGAGAATTTCATATGTCACTGTATCCTTTCTACATGCAGCTTGAAATTGAATTTTTTGTTCATGCAGTAACTACCAGGATCTACCAGTAAGCAAACTAAATTTCTGTTCCATTTCTTTCTCTCTTGCTTAGGCAATAACTACTCCAGCCATGGCAGTCAGTCATATTATGTTGGAATCATATAAAAAGTATATCCTAGTTTCTTTGATACTACTTGGTAAAGTTCAGCAGCTACCAAAATACACTTCCCAGATAGTTGGTAGATTCATTAAGGTAAGTATTGCAAATGCATCTAAATAATAGGGCAACAAATCTGAATTTGTAAATGTGTAACAGTGGAAGGTGTTCCTGTCCATGGCAGGGGTTTGGAGTGAGATAAACTTGAAGGTTCCTTCCTACCTAAACCATTGTATGATGTCAGTGATACATGTTTTTAAAATCTGGGAAAACTTCAGTGTTGAATAGTACTAGTCAATATTCATTTCACTGATACTGCACAGTCCTTTATAGCTTTTTATGTTAGAATTTTAAAAATACTCAGATGTCAATTGACTTTCACGCTGCAGTGTCATTATGAAAAGATTTGACCTGCAGCTTCATCTGGTTGAAGCACAGAATGCTAAACAGTTTACTCCCAAACCCCAGCTTTTTAAAGAAAAAAAGCTTCTGAAAAAAACTGCAAGTTTGGAGTCTGTAAGCATTCAGATTAGAAGGTGTAGGGTGGGAGACAAAACTGCTGCTGAGAGAGTTCTGATCCTAAGTAACATACTTAGAAGCAGTTTGTTGATTTGTGACTAAGATTCTAGAGAATTCCAAAATTCTTCTAACTTCAGAGACTAATAAACAAGCTTAAAACATTTTAAGGTAGTTTAGTGAACTGGTTTCAGCCTCTGAGTCTGTGCTGTTGATGCTGTGACCCAGTGTGGTCAGGGATGGATATCTTGGAGGACAGAACTGGAAATACTTACCTCAAACTCAGCTGGTCAGTTGAGTTTTTTTCATACTGCTGTAAGTAAAACTGTCACACAGAGGTCCTGGAATGATGTTTATTAAATATTGCACTGTAGTAACACAGATTTTAGTATATGGGGGTCATGCCATAAAGCCATGCATGGGCACCCTGTCTTTTTATGAGAAATGCCCAAACTACTTAAATTTACTTCAATGCCTGCATAGCTTCTAATGTTGGAGCACTGAATAGGTTTTGTGAGGTTGGGTGAACACTGTGTTCTTCAAGAAGGGTTCTCATTTTTCTAATTGCAGCCTCTTAGCAATGCTTACCATGAATTAGCACAAGTTTATTCAACCAATAAACCCTCGGAGCTTCGAAATCTGGTGAACAAACACAGTGAAACTTTCACAAGAGATAACAATATGGGGCTGGTTAAGCAATGCTTGTCATCTCTCTACAAAAAGAATATTCAGAGGCTAACCAAGGTAAGAGAAGCTGTGAGCAGTTTTCTTTTGAGAGTATATTTCTGAAATATATTCAATTTAGAGCTAAATGATAACATAGTAACGTGGCAGAGGAATTACTTAAACTGAGATTTGTGTCTGAAACAAAGGAGACTAGAATGCCCTGTATAGGAAAACAAATCAGTTGGCTGCTTATGCATTATTTAAAAGGTGATTCAATCTGTCTGTCAGGAGAGTTTGCTGTGAGGTTTTCATAGGTAATCAAAAAAGTGAATGCTGCAACCCAGTGATCTTCATCCCTATTCAAAAAATAGGAAAACTGAACTTTACAGGCCACTTCATTAGAAAGGAGTGAGTGAATAGGACAGATTTTGGAAGTGCCTGAAATAAAAGGAAAAACAGAAGCACTGAAGTGATTTGCCCCTTCAGCTGGGAGACCAGATTAATCCTGAAAGGTGATTGGGGAAAGCAGGTTTTTTTGCAAGCTCAAATTATATTTATTGCAGTAGAACAAAATCTCATAAGGAGCTTTATAAATGCATCTCTTGAAGGAAATTCAAGGGGTGGAGAGGCACTTTTTTGTGTAAAAGGTGAGAGAAAGAGGTTGGACATGGTCAGGACTGTCTGGTGTAGATGAAATTGCAGGAATGAGTAATGACTCTGTACGTGCTCAGGGTAACAAATTAATGTCTGGAGGAAGAACTGACTCACTCTCATGAGCCCTTCAATAATTGTGTGTTCCACTTGTTCCTTCCCATCAGACTTTCACAGTCAGGTTACATAGGCCATGAAGCATCAACAAGAAAATGCTTTAACACTTCAAACAGTTTTAACACTTTAAAACTTTGCAAATTTCAGACGTTTTTAACATTGTCATTACAAGACATGGCAAGTCGAGTGCAGCTGTCGGGGCCCCAAGAAGCAGAAAAATACGTCCTCCACATGGTAAGAGCTGTGACTTGGGGAAGCTCCCCCAAAATTAGTGTTTGGGTTGGCAGTACACATCCTGAGCAGTTCGTTTTCAGGATGGAGGAAATGCTGGCAGTCTGATGTGGTGTTGAGACTGTTGTCAAAAAATCTAAAAAGCTGTTCTCCACGTAGGATAAGGCATGAATTGTATTTTTGGGAAGCTGTGGGAAATAAAAGCAACCAAGTTAAAGACAATTCCACAAAGAGTCTGTGTGTTGTAGTTACCTGAAATTCTGTTCTTCATGATAATTTCTATTAAACCCTCTGTCATTTCAGATAGAAGATGGTGAAATCTTTGCGAGTATTAATCAGAAAGATGGTATGGTCTGTTTCCATGATAATCCTGAAAAATATAACAATCCAGCTATGCTTCATAACATTGATCAGGAGGTAAATCTTCTACTTATTTTGGAATTCTTACCAAAGAACCTTAGTCTGTAGTCAGAGAGCTGCTGGCAGAAGCCAGTGTAGTAACTTAGATATAGAGAGTGAGACTGTAAATCACTACTTCACTGTTTCACAGTATTTTCATGGGTTTTAGAATAATACTCTCTGTCAATGTGTTCCCTGTTTTGTCCTGCACAGCTTGAGCTGTTTCAGATCCTTGAATGGATTAGAAAGATTTTTAGAGTTTTAAACTTCAAGGATCACTTCCATTGGCTCCCAATAACCTGCCTGTAGGTTAAGGTGGTTGAGCCTCAGGGGACTGTCTATCAGTGGTCTTAAAATGGGCTGTTAGGAAGACATGGATCAAATTAAGGGGATAAAAAATGGTCTGACATTTTGTTTGGGAGGTGAGGGATGAGAACATTTTGATGTGGAACTTGAGTGGTGGCAAAATTTCATGGCACAGCCGTGAAATGTGTTGAAGATTCAGGTACAAGCTGGACAAAGTAATCAATTTCATACGTATTTTTAAGATGCTGAAATGTATAGAGCTTGATGAACGACTGAAAGCCATGGATCAAGAGATCACTGTGAACCCTCAGTTTGTGCAGAAGGTAATGGATTTCATGTCTTGTAAGAGTATGTAAGAGATTCCTTCAGTGCAGTGAGTATGTTGTACTGAATGTCAGTATTTACAGTGTTGTTACTACACATTATTAATAATATGTGCATAAACATCATGACACATCGTAAAGATAATTTATTAATTTTGAAGGTGCTTTTCCCTAATTAATCCTGCAGTGATTTCAACCAGAAAATTAAGTGCATGTTATTTCATAGGCACTTTATTTTCCTGCCTGTTCACTTCAAAGAACTGTCATTCTCAAGCCTGCAGACCTGTTTCTGAACAGAACTAACTCTCTCCTTTTCAGAGTATGGGCTCTCAAGAAGATGACTCAGGGACCAAACCATCCAGTTATTCTTGAAATTAATGTTGCTCACCACTCCGCTTTCAAGTAAAAGCTTATGAAAGAATCACGCCTGGAGCAGGGCATTGAGGAGTTCCACAGAGAGAGCAGAGAGAACTGAGCTTTGCTTTTCACCTGGACATTAAGAAAATAAAAGAACACCCTCTCAGTACTGTATAATATCAGAAATATTCTCTGCAAAGAAAAAGGAAATCTCAAAAGAAACTTGAAAGTCTGTTGTGGATTTATTTATCTTCAGATTAACATTGTTAATGCATTAAATAATCTACCTTTTGTTTTAAAGGGTTTGAATGTTGCCGTGTTTCTGTAGCAGTCTCCTCTTCTGCAAAAGAAAGTGTTATTCAGGGAAGAATACAAACTAGTGTTGGTTCACTTACAAGATAATTCTTGGTTCATTATTCTGTATTTAAAGTTGGCTCCAAGTGCAGATTTCTCATATGTGTGGTGGGGGCAGAGGGGTGGAGTTCAAGCAAATCATCATGTAGGGAATTTGCATATGCCCAATGTAGCTGGTGCTGTCTGTTAAATGAGGAAATAAGAACTGTTCTTCCCAAAAGGATGAGGATGTCAACCTGTCCTTGTAAGGAAGTTTGCTGCACAGTAGGAATCATATATGGAAAACATACATGACAGCTGTTCATGATTTTAAGTTTCTGTTGCAAAATATCTGCTAATATTATTTGCTCTTAGATGAAACTTATTAGACCTAAACAAAAGGATATTTGGAAAACGTTGGTGTTCTGGAGGATTCTAGATAGGAAGTTGTTTACACTGAAAGAAATTTAAGTGTTTGTTCCTGTGCAACTGGCATGAAGGTATTCAACAGGCTGATAGTTTCTCTGGTGGAAACCAGTATTTCTGCATGGAACATAAATAGAATTCTATACAACTCTCAAATGCAGGATTTTATCAGATATAATGTGTTGGAATGGTACCTGGTTTTTAATTTACTATTTTAAACTTGTTATTGGATTCTTTAAAGTGCTTCACCCCTTAAATCAACGGGCTGTTTAATTTTCTGTCGTTCTTGTGTATCTGAAGATTCTCACTGTTCAAACACCTTCCTGTCAGGCAGAAATAAACCTGTCAGAAAACGAGCAGCTCAGCAGCCACTGCTTCCTACTGAAACACCTAACCAGGAGCTGCTTGCTCCTGCTACCCTGCCAGCTTTTTTCCAGGTGGGAGCAGAGCATTCCTGACTCTTACTGTGTGAAGTTTGTATGTATTGAGGTCACCTGTGGTTGAAAATCTTCCATTTGTGCTCCAGTGCTGATGCAGAAGTGTTGGGGTTTTCACTTAAAACCGGTGTCACAAGTCTGGCAGAGCCCCTGTGGCAGCAGGGTGCTGCCTTCTGGTGAAGAGAGGTGTCCCAGCTTGTGGTTGGTGGTGAAGGATGTTTTTAAAAGTATAAAATAGAATTTAGTAGTGAACACAGTGGGGGTTTATAGTGTGAGCAGCTCATCACTTCCTGCCTGAGAGAATTCCATTGGGACAACTTTTATATCTGATCTTTAGGCAAAATCTTGGCGTTTTTCATAACTCACGAGTCTTGTAACTAGAAGAGATCTATGATTTTGGAGGTTTTTATCCTAATTAATCCTGACGTGATTTCAATGCTGAATATACACCGTTTTCCCCTCTGGTCCCATGGAAGTGTTAATGAGTAATTAGTGATGCTGTGGCTCGAGCCCAGAACAGGGTGGTTGTCACAGCCACGTGTGGCACTCACAGAAGGAACTGCAAACAACTGACCCCAAACCCATCCAGAAATGTCAACTCTCCTTGCCAGTGGCTCCCTTGCCAGGGGGAATGTATTGAGGATGCTGTCATAGAGTCAGAAGAAAACCAGGAATGTCCATTTTTACACTACTAGTTCCTATTGGTGAGCATGGATTTACCTGCTGAGATCTGCAGGATGGTTTTCCAGCTGTGGAATTAGAAGCAAACTAATCCATGCAGCTGGTGAATAGCTCTAGATTTTTCTCTTTTTATCTTGCCCAAAGTAGATAAAACAAATCCATGCTCACATCAAAAGGATGGCAAAAATAGCTGTGTAATAGTTTCAAGTGATATATTTCATTATATATCTGATTTTTAAGAGGGCAGATGCTTTTAGAGAACTACTGAAGTTCCTTTTCTGGCGTGGATAGTTGTGCTGTTAATGTCTGAATTCTGTTAGAAATTCAAAGTCAGGTCCCACCTGTAGAATCAGTAGATAAAGCATTCACCAAAAGTGCTCCAGGGAAGGACTTTTAAGTCCTAGTTTGATAAACACACGTGGCCTGGCATCTGCATGTCTTGAGATAGCACTGAAATTAAGTCAGATTTTTAATGAAGCAGCTGCTTCCAAGTCTTGGAACTAATTGCCTGGGCTGTGGTCAGCTGAGAGGCTTCGAGAACACTTGGGCTTTCTGGTTTTAATTTGCATTTTCTGCAGGGAAGGGCTTTTGCTGAAATCTAGGAACACTGCGTGCTGTGCTGCTCCCAGCTTGGCCTCTGAGGTCCCGTGGCTGTTCCTTCCCATCCTGCATGGTCACAAGATGTGCCCGGGGAATACTGAGTGCATGCTTTGATATCTGACTCCGATTTTGATGCATTTTAATCAGCAAGGACACAAGATGCACTGGTGAAGTGCAGCTGCAGTTCCTAGCCACAGGAGGGGTCTCTAGGCCAGTCAGGGTGAGAGTCTGAAATGTTTCTAAGAAGGAAGGGTTGGGAGCTGTTTGTGCCCAGCCCCACTGCTGGTTTTGTGCCACCGAGGAGCCCCAGTGTGTGACCTCTGCTGAGCCATGGTGTGACTGCAGCTGCCTCCTCCTGCTGAGCTCCCCTGTGTCCCACAGCACAGCCCCAGCCCCGTGTTTGTGTTGTCACAGGCCATCTGTACAACCCAGGAAATGTTCTCCGTGTGGCCACGCTGGCCCTGGAGCTCAGTCCTGAGAAGCTGTTTAAATGTACCATTGGAAAATAAAGATAACAAACCAGTCGTTCTTAGTTTGTCTTAAATGAGACTGTAGGTCTTTTCTATTTGGGGTTTCCTTAGTTTTTTTTGGGGGGATGTCTTGTTCTGGTTGCTTTTCAGGAGCTGATTTTGGCTGACTGCAGAGGCTGCTGCTTGCCTGCTGTGCGTGGCAGTGCCCTCTGCTCCAGAGGTGTTCAAGCCCTGCTGGAGGCTTCTCAGAGCTCTGCTGAGAAATTCCAAGTAGAAATAATCTTTGTTTAGTGCCCTTTTTTTGAGAAGCACTGCTGCAGGTCCTTGAGATGGGCTTTGGGATTTTGGATGGAACGCTTTTACTCCGAGCACCCTGGTCTAGTGAAGATGTCCCTGCCCACAGCAGGGGCTTGCAGTGGGATGGTCCAGAAGGTCCTTCCAACCCAAACCATTCTGGGATTGTGTCTGAGCTTGGCGTTTCTGTAATAATCCATCTTGCTGACCATCTGGCTATTGTTTTAATCAGACATAATTATTGTTCACGTGTGGCTGTGCTTGCATCCAGAGGTGTGTCTTGTGGTGTTATCAGCAATAGCGGCTCTTTCTTGGGATTAAAGTACGAATTTTACTCAGTTGAATAATCTATGCTGTTATCTACTTGAAAACTTACTACTTTTGTTCAGATTCAGGTATTTAAAGCTCTTTTAAGGGGCAACTCCGAGGGGCAGGTAGGAACTGGTACTTTATTATTTTGAAGCCTAATAGTTCACGTGGAATTTGGTTTAGCTTTCCATCATACACTCTTAGAGGTAAGTAATCCTTTAATACTCAAACGTGATACCCTGAAGAGAAACAGGAGTAGTTTAATGGAAATGAAGAGCCTGAGCCGGTTTAATTTGGGCGTTCTCTCCCCGGCCCTTCCCGGGCTGTACTGTACAAACACTTCCACAGAGCCGCTTTATAAATCGGGAAACGACAACATTTCGAAACCTTCATCCGCCATAATCCTGCATTTTAAGCACTTTTAAGGAATTAACACATGCGGTGGGTGCTGAGTCTCCAATGGAGAAGTCGCGCCGAGCCTGCGGAGAACACGGCACCGCCCTGAGGCCAGGGACAGTCCCGGGAAGGGGCTGTGCGGCAGCTGATGGCGAGGCTCATTAACGCGGCAGGCTCCAATCCTGTCCCGATCCCGATCCCTGTGTCCCGATCCCGATCCCTGTGTCCCTGTCCCGACCCCTGTCCCGGTCCCGATCCTTGTGTCCCTGTCCCCGTCCCGGCTCCTCCGTGGGCTCCGCCCGCGGCCGCCCCGGGTCCCCTCATAGCGCCCGCAGGTCACGTGACCCGGAGCGCGGCCCGTACCACCCCGCGGGGGGAGCGCGGCCCGCTGCCGGTGTGGCACCCGCGGGTCGCTGGCTGCCGTTTGTCCCTTCTCGTGTCCCCGGTGATTGAAAACCTGTGCTCCACTCTGCGCTGTGATAGCTGGGCAGGTGTAGTGCGGGAGGGGAGGATGTGCCTTCCAGACCTCCTCATATCCCCCCCTCCTTGAGGTAATGGCTCCGCCCGGCCCCTGTGGACAGGGCGGCCCTGGGCCGAGCCACTGCGGCAGCCGGGGGGTGGCGGCTCCCCGGGAGAGCGGCGGGGCGGCCAGCTCAGTCCCGCGGTACGAACGGGCTTCCCATCTCTCTGTCTTCCATCTTGTTCTCCATCTCCTCCCTTCTCCGCGGCGGCGGCGGGCGCGCGGGCGGGGAGCTGTGTGTCCCTGTCCCCCCCCAGCAGGCGGTGGGGGTGGTACGGGCGGTGGGTCAGTCGGTGTCAGGCGCCCGCGGACTCGGGACGGGCCGGGGGAGCCGCGGTGAGCGGGGGCTCCGCGCGGGGGGAACCGGGGCCGGGCCGGGGCACGGGGCACGGGGACCGGGGACCGGGCACTGGGCACTGCACCCGGCGGGACGGGCCGGCCCGCCTCCGGCACGGCCTGAGGCGTTCGGGCGCTCAGCAGGGCCGGCCCGTTCCGGCCTGAGGCTCGGGGCACGGGGGTCAGCCTTGATCCACAGGAGGCCACCAGGCTGATCAGAGGGAAGAGCACCCGTCCTTTGAGGGAAGGCTGGAAGAATTGGGATTGTTCAGCCTAGAAAGGAGAGGGCTTCGGGGTGACCTAGTTGTGGCCTTCCAGTATCTAAATAGAACTTACAGGAAGGATGGGACAAGACTATTTACAGGGGTCTGGAGTGACAGGAGAGGGGGGAACAGCTTCAGACTGACAGCAGGGTTAGATAGGATATTGGGAAGCAATTTGGCCTGTGAGGGTGGGCAGCCCTGGCACAGGTGCCCAGAGCAGCTGGGGCTGCCCCTGGATCCCTGGCAGTGCCCAAGGCCAGGCTGGACAGGGCTGGGAGCAGCCTGGAAGGTGTCCCTGCCATGGCAGGGGGGTGTACTGGGTGATTTTCAAGGTCACTTCCATCCCAAACCATTCTGAGATTTCATTCTGAATCTGTCCATGTGATACTGGAGGTATCTGGGCATGAGGGGTTGCTCCAGCCCCACTCACCCCCTTGGGCCTGAGGTGCCCTGGATCAGTGTCCAGCAGCTGGGCATGGCAGATTGGGTTGCTCATCAGCAAACAGAAGGTTGGTCCTGGATCAGTGGAATGGCCGGGGAGGTGTTGGAGTCACCATCACTGGAGGTGTTTAAGGAAAGGCTGGACATGGCACCCAGTGCTGTGCTCTGGGTGACAAGGTGGGGATCGGTCACAGGTTGGCTCGATGGTCTCAGGCTCAGGCTGAGCTTCAGGCCAGCTGCTCCAGTGGGACACAGAGCAGCACTGGCAGCAGGAGGCCTGAGAGACCCCACAGTGTCCCTGTGCTGACTGTGCTCTGTCCCTGCTGCAGGAGGCCTGGCGGCTGAGCCCAGCCCTCACTATGAACGCCATCGTTGCCCTGTGCCATTTCTGTGAGCTCCATGGCCCTCGCACGCTGTTCTGCACCGAGGTGCTGCACTCGCCGCTCCCGCAGGGCGCCGGCAGCGGGGACATCGCCGGGCAGAACGAGCAGGGGGAGGAGGAGGAAGGTGGGATTCAGATGAGCAGCCGGATCCGCTCGCACAGCCCGGCTGAAGGCGCCAGCGCCGACTCCAGCAGCCCAGGGCCAAAGAAGTCAGACATGTGTGAGGCAA